AGTTGTCCTCTGACCTCCCATTTATGAGCTCGGGCATGCACATGCATGCCAGCATACATGCAAATATATAATCATTTTAATGAGCTGAGATATCGCTTAGAGTAGAGCCCATCCCTATAGTATGTATAAGGATCTAGATTCCATCTCTAGTCACACACACACACACACACACACACACACACACACACACACAGACTTCTTAGGAAGATAGAGTAGTGGGTAGCGATGCATGGTGCTGCATGCCTATATTCTAATCAAGAGGCTGAGGCAAAAGGATGGCTGCAAGTTTGAGATCAGCTCGGTCTACACAGTGAGTCTGAACTATATAGCAGGACCCTGTCTTGAAGAATGTTTTCAATGCCAGGAGTGGTGGCTCCAACTTTTGAGGCCAGCATTTGGGAGGCAGATGCAGGAGTTCACGGCCATCCTGGGCTACACAGTAAGTTCGAAGCTAGCCTGAACTACATGAGGCCCTGCTCCCAAAACAAAAACAGAGAGTTGTGTTAGGTCATATAAGCAGTAACCTTGCACTCCGGGGTTTCAATAGCACAAAGGTTTATCTGTTGTGCAAGGTCAGTCTGATGCCAGCCGCAGGCTTCCTCCCTCTAACGGCCATGCTACGCAGAGCAGGTGGCTTTTGTAAGGTGAGAGGAGGCAGAAACTGGAAAGCACACTGGCCCTTTAACAGAACCCTGGCTTAGAAACAATACACTTCAACCTTGCTTACAGTCATTGGCCAGAACTAATTACCTGGCCTGACCACGGAAGCGGAGCAGTTAGAAGGGCACACACAGGAACTGAGGACAGCTGTCCAGCAGATCGTGTTTCAGAAGTATGAGAAGGAGGAAAAGAAGAAGGCAGTAACTTGAGAGAAGGGGAGGGTCCTCCAGGATGTAAGGCCCTGCAGGTGATAACAGACAGAAATCAAAGGGTCAGTTGAGATGACTTTCTATGGTTTAAACGTGTTCCCCAAGACAAGTATGTTGAAACTTAATGGCCAGTGTGTGCAGACTAAAAGGTTGAAGGCTGAAAATGTGGCTCATGTGATAGGGTGCTCGCCTAGCATGCAGGAAGGCCTGGGTTCAGTCTTCCCCGACCAGGCGTGGTATTACAGGCCTGTTATCCTAGCGCTCCATGGGGGCATGAGGACCAGAAGTTCAAGGTCATTCTGGGCCACTGTATATTCAGTTCTAGGCCAGTGTGGGCTATAGGAGACTCCCTCAGGTTGGGCCTGTTGGAGATAACTAAATCCTGAAGGTGGAGATCGAAAGCCTGGAGTTGTAGCTCAGGTTGCAGAGTGCTTGTGTAGTACACACGAAGTCTTGGGTTTGATCCCCAGCACCACACAAGCCAGGTGTGATGGGACACACTTGTAATTCCAGGACTAAGAAGATGGAGACGGGGGACCGGAAGTCCAAGGTCAGCCTTTGCTACATATCAAGTTCAAGGTCAGCCTGTGTTACATGAGAACAATAAAATAAAATAAAAAATGTTAAATAGGGTTAGGAACATAGCCCAGGATGTATAAAGCCCTAGATTCCATTTCCAGCAACACATAAAACCAGGCATGGTGGCATGCTTGCTTGGCGCTCTTCTCTCTCTCTCTCTCTCTCTCTCTCTCTCTCTCTCTCTCTCTCTCTCCTTTCTGTCTCTGTCTCTCTGTCTCTCTCTCTGTCTCTGTCTCTCTCTCTCTCTGTCTCTCTCTCTCTCTCCTTTGCTGTGTTTAGATGGAACCCGTGGTCTTACACACGTTAG